ATGGAAGTGCTACTCAAACCTCACACTTTTATCACACAAGTCTAAAATTCATTGCTGGCAGTGACTGACAATATTCCCAGCTTGGTGTCTGTCACCTTTGAGGATTGTTTTGATACAGGCATAAAAGCAATGAGATTTAATTCATGTCACAGCAAAAGCAGGAATGTTCGGAACAAGCAGCTTTCATTCTCCAGTTCTGCCATCCCCAGCCAAATTGAGCGCTGAAAGAGTTCTGGGGGCAAAAAGCTACACGAACCAAACTCACGCGAACAGCAGGCAAACTGCAGAGAAGGCCTCTTTTCTTTCCTTTCTTTGGCACCATTTGAAAGCATTCAGGGCCCGTACCTTGTTCTCTGGTGGTGTAAAATCTTTCTTTTTACCATCACTCAGCACATCAGCCTGAGGTGGAGGGACCGTGTTCTTTCTAATGGTTGCCCCATATTAGGTGTCCTTATCATGGAGATTTTGAGGCACATGGGAAACATGCAAACTCCTGCCTCCCCAGAAATGCATAACGAGGAGTTATGCTGAGTTCTTTTCGCATAGCTCTGTGCCAGTTGAACCTAGCCATTCCATAACAAGTGTTCTCAGGCATCACCGTGGTATTTTCTCACTGTTTCTCGGCTTTCTCAGCTTTCCAGTGCGAAGCCTTATCCAAGCCACGGTGGGGCCACATGAAATGTCTCCCCAGCCCTTCTGAAGCGTTCCAAAGTGGATCCAGTTGTGAGTTCTCCTGCGAACGAGGATTTGAATTGAAGGGATCAAAAAGGCTTCAGTGTGGCCCAAGAGGGGAGTGGGACAGCAAAAAGCCCACATGTTCAGGTGAGTTTTTTTTTTTTTTTTTACTTTATTGTGTGTGTGTGTGTGTGTGCACTCTAAGACTCATGTGTGGAGATCAGAGGACAACCTGGCAGAAGTTGATTTTTATATGTGTCCCGTCATGTGGGTCCCAGAAATGAAGTTCAAGTCTTTAGGATTGGCAGCAAATGCCTTTACCTGCTGAGCCATCTCTCTGCCCCCCTGCAGACATACACACTTTGGGTTCCACTGTAAGACAGAAGCTATTGAGCATCTTTGTGGCTTGGCTGCCCTGAGACACACGCTATAGCCCCCTGCTGACTCCTCTGAATGGCTTCTCTCTTCCAGCTGTGAGATGTGAAGCTGTCCCTCAACCTCAGAATGGCTCCATGGAGTGTGCCCATGCGGCAACTGGAAAATTCACCTACAAGTCTTCGTGTGCCTTTCAGTGCAACGAGGGCTTTGAATTACAAGGATCAGCTCAACTGGAGTGCACATCCCAGGGAGAGTGGAGCGAAGGAGTCCCCTCCTGCCGAGGTAATGCTGAGTTGAGGCTCACAAGACACACACCAACCTAGCAGTTTTGTGGTAAGGTTTTTGTGACTCTTACCACGGACGTGTCGTTTGCAGCGGTCCAATGCTCCAGCCTCGATGTCCCAGGAAAGATAAACGTGAGCTGCAGTGGCGCAGCGGTCTTCGGCACGGTGTGTGAATTTACGTGTCCTGATGGATGGGCACTCAACGGATCTTCAGTTCTGACATGTGGTGCCACAGGACGCTGGTCCGGGACGATGCCTACCTGTGAAGGTGATGCAAAGATCCATGCTGGTTGCCTGGGGGAGAAGAGAGGAGGAAGGGTGTTGCATTGCGAAGGGAGCTAACTATCCACTGTGTCCCAGCCAGGATGGTAGGTTGTAGAGATGGATAGAAAGAAAACAGAAAATGACGCACGTCCACGGAACAGGCAGAACGCCGCGTTCTGACCTGCCATTCCACTTCCCTCTCCAACACCCCTCCCTGCTCCCTCAGGGTGGGATTCTGGTAATCAGAAAGGGGGGATCTAGAGACTAAAGGAGGAGTAGGAGATAAGAAATACGAGAGAGAAGACCTGGGTAGTTCACTGTTAAAGGATGCGTGCGCGCTTACGTTCTTACGCAGCCTCAATGGCGCTTTGAGGAATTGTTTACATCTTCCACCCCAAGTCTCTGCTTCATACACTTGACGACACGGCTCCTCCTCTAATAGTAATGACTATGCAGAGAAAAGGCTAACTGACAGGGCCGAGAGACCCTAAAGCCAAGCGTTGCTCATACGGTTTCCTCCTCATCTGTTTCCTCAGCCCCCACCAACCCCACCCGTCCCTTGGTAGTTGCACTTTCTGCGGCGGGGACCTCGCTCCTGGCATCGTCCTCATTTCTCTACTTGTTGCTGAGATACTTCCGGAAGAAAGGTAAATTCACGCATCCATTCCAAAAAATGATTTCGAAAATTATATATATATATATATATATATGAAAATTATATGTGTGTGTGTATGTATGTATATATGTATATGTGTGTGTGTGTGACTGATGAGCTATGGTCTCTCAAAAATTTTCATTAGAATCTAGAAAGTAGAACCGAATTATTAGATAGCCTCAGTAAATGCCAATGTAATCAAGCAAAAGTTTCAGGACAAGGCTTTATGACTCAACTCAGTGTTGAAAAAGTTTTAGGAAGCCTGTGTTAGCTGTGCTGACACTGCTTAGCTCCAGGGGGCGCTACTCACCTCAAATTCCACGGTGCCCCTGGAGTCGCTCAAGCAGAATTACAGAGTTACACCATGATTCTATTGGGAGAATAAGTACAATGCTTTCAAGTAGCAGAGAATCGCTTGGGACAGTCTAAATTTGTGAATGATAAGTATATCCTTATCAGAATATATATATATATTATCAGGATATATATGTAAATATATATCTGCAACTATTTCCTGGTGTCAGGAATCTGCTGTGTTCTTTGAATGCTCCTTCCTCTGCATTTTACCTTAATTGCCACCACATGTTAATTACAGAGCCTCCGTAATAATGAGAGTATAAGCCCAGATGAGTCAAATAAATCTGATTTGCTTAAAGGTCATTAGTCCAAATTAATCTTTTTCTTTCTCTTGCAGCAAAGAAGTTTGTCCCTGCTAGGTAAGTTGAGTTCTTACATAAAGCATGCTATTTAATACTCCATACATTTTTTTTTCTCTGTATGTGGGAGAGCGGCGTTTGACATACTTTCCTCTTGTTTCCACAGCAGCTGCCAAAGCCTCCAATCTTTTGGAAACTATCAAGCACCTTCTTATAGCATCTAAAATCAAGACAATCAATCAGGTATGGCTTGGGCAGGTCATGTTAATGAGAGAAAATCCCCTTTATGAATGGCATTTCTCCTTGACACCCTCAATCCTGCCATTGCTTAGAGGGAACCCCCACCTTCATGATAATGCATAGACAGTTGTTTCTTTTTGTGTGTCTTTTTTGGATCTATTCCCTTGTGGATGACCATGGTGGGGGTGGGGGTGGGGGTGATGGTGAAAGCTGGCTCCACTCAGCAGCTGAATTCCTAAGCTAGGGAGTCTGGGAGGGGGTGGGGGAGGCTATTCCTGCATTCCTCTGTGATGAAGAAAACCAGGCACAGAATTTACGGGAACTTGCCCGAGTTTTCAAAGCTACTGTGCAGTGTCACTGAGACTCAAATACCAGCAGTAGCATGATCTGAAATCTGTGATCTTCAGTATCCACATTGCTTCTGGGAGTATGTCTGAAAGGTCAAGACCTTTTAAATATTTTTTTTTCTTAATGAATAGAATTTTTGGTGTAGTTTGGGGCTTAGAGAAAGATTGATCAGAAATTTGTAAAGGCAAAGTAATTTGCCTTTTTAGACCCCTTCCTTAATTTTCTTCTAGTAACAACTTTCATTAGCATAGTTATTAATGGTGAATTACTATTAATTAAAGCCCAAGATGCACTAGGGTTCATTCTTTGGGTTATATACTCCGTACGTTTAACAGGTAAACATGACCTGTCTCTACCATTATTACAGTGTCATACAGATCAGTTTCATTATTATAACTGAATGATATTGGGAGTTCATTTCTAGGCCACCTTCAAGTCACAGCCTGCTTCAAGGGTGTATCTTGTTGTTGCTTCCAGCATGCAGGTTATTTGAGAGACGTTCACACTTGCTTGTATTTGCAGGAGCACAGGTGCATCCTGGGAAATAGAAAGCTATGCTGAAGGCGGCAGAAAATGAACTGTCTGAGGAATTCTGGATTCTCTTGTCTTCTTGGTAACTGGGAGCCTGACTCCATGGATCAACACTCAGTGACAAGGCGCCCAGCCCTCCACCAGAATGACTCAGTTTCTTTTTTTTCCTAGCCGCGGTATCTGCTGGCCACAGAAGGTGGAGGGTACGCTCTTCAAAAAGAGAGTGAATAGGCCAAGGGGCCTGGCACAGCAGAATCCTTTCCGACTCCCTTAGTCACGCTGGACTTTGGGAAAAGAAACAGCATTTTGTGGCCTTGTTTCTTTTGTTTGTCCCACACACGGTGTTTCAACTGCTAATGCTGTTATTGTTGTCAGCAGTGGAAAATAATATTTATCAGCAGTTTTGAACAAACAATTTTCTGGTTCTATCTTTTAAAAAAAAAAAAGAGGCAAAAGTGTTATATTCTCAGGTTATGGCATGGGAGTGTCATCAGGGGTACAAGGTGCAAATCCTGATGAGTACTACCCATTACGACTGGTGGGCAGACTCACCAGCTTTATCCCCATGGGATTCAGTGGTCTCTGAAGTTTTCTTGGACATTGTATTTTGTGTCCTTGAATCCAGCATGATGTCTATCACTCTTAATTCAGGTTCAGGGTCAAAAAACAATAAAAAACAAACAAAACCAAACAGAATCCAGTGACTTATCAAGGCAAAAGTTATTCTAAATCTATTATTATTATTATTAGCAAACCCTAATGTTATATCTGCAGTAAACTTACTTTCAAAGTGAGAAATTAGTGCAGACCCTGAGTATTTTAGTGTAGCTGGTTTTAAGACATGGTACTATCAAAAGAATAGAAGTTGAAGAGAGAGTTTGTATGTTTGGGGGATTTTTTTTTCTTCCTCAAAAAAATTATTTTTTTCTGGAAGAAAAAAAACTTCCTTGAGGCCAGATGTTCTGATTTAATAAACAAATAAATGCTAAAAAGGAAAGGCACATTTTAAAAAGTATTTGTGTAAGAGCGTGTCAAAATGTGAGTGTGCTTTGCATTCCTATAAAGGTGGTTTTCCTACGTGACAAACGGATGCCTGATTCTTGTATGTGGAATAGGATTCTAAATCCATGACGAGGATTTACCACATAATGGATCCAGGCAGCAGAGTTTTAAAGAGTAAAGGTGTGAGGCAGCTACTCTGGTTGTTCATATGTCCTAGAGGAGGGGAAAGCTGTGAACACTATGATTATGTGGTTTTTCAGAGATTAAAATTCCTAAGGAATTTCACCCACAGCAGGCAATCGCAAATGCTTGGTCAGTAAGAGTCAAAGGTGTCCCAACTTCCAAAGTAATGTATTAGAGAAAGATTTTCTTTTGAAAGTTCCTTGCTGAATAGTGGCACTGGGAGAGTCAACAATGAACAGGGTAGTATGATAAGCAGTAGGAAGAAAGGGAAGAAAGAGAGGAGCAAAAGTGATATCTAGAGCGAGCAAGCGAGAGAGTAGCTGTTGTTATAAATGTAAATGATTACGTATTTTGTATCAGAAATAATGGTGTGAAATATAAATGTGGTCTGTATCTGAGGTTTATAAAGGTATTTTAAATTATGATTTAAAATATTTTATGGTTTACGCGTATGTGTTTATTTAAATATGTCAACCTTATTGTATTCACATGTCAGTAAACTGTTTGGCAATAAATGTGTTTCTACTTATCTTTGTATATTTTAATTTTTTAGGCATCGAGATAAAAAAATCTGTGTGCCATAAAATTTACATTTTGATTGATTGATTGATTGATTAATTAATTAATTAATTAATTAATGTGTGTATGTTTGTGTGTGTGTGTGTGTGTGTATGTTGGGGCCTGTGGGTTTTGTGTGTGTGAATGTGTGGAGAGCAGAGGACATCTTTTGAGGAGTCAGCTCTCTCTTTTCACCATGGGTTTGAGTGGCAAGTGCTTTTATTCACTGGGGAATTTTGCTGGCACAAAATTCTCCCTTCTAAAATGGAATATCAGGCAATCGTATACCTAACTTCGCAACATTTCATTTGCCTTGGAATAGAAATTGCCATGGAATTGTCCCTCACAATCTTTTAAATTTTAAATCTTTTAAATCTTCTAAATTTCTTGTATATTCATATGCACAGGAATGTCCACCATCAAGCACCTCTCTACACTCTCACCCATTCTTATAAATTGCAGGCTCACTCCCTTACACTAATAGGCGCATTCTCACACTTATGCCCTGCAAGCACACTGTCTCAGACTACAACACTCTTTGCATATACTCTACTTTTTGAATGAGTTTTTGCTTATGACAGTTTACCTTTCCTGAACTCCTTTTGCTTCCTTTTAAACCCCACCCTTCCACCCCATGGAGAACTCTGTTTTCTTTCTGACAGTGCCTAGGGTCTGCAGCTCTGTTGCCCTTAGCGCCTTCTACTAGAGCAAAGGAAACCCTGTTTTTACCAGATGTTTGTACAGAATGGTGACTGCCTTCCTTCTTGTCTCACTAAGTTCCAGATTACGCCTACCCCTTCCTCCATCTTCTTCCCACATCCTCTTCTTCCCTTTTCCTCCCCTCCATGGCAATACTATTCTACACTCTGTCTATGGATTTGCCTATTCAGCACATTTGATATACACAGAGTACCAGATGACCTTCTGCCTAGTTCTTTTTACTTAGCGTACTGTTTTCTAGCCTCCTCCATGGTGTAACATGTATCAACACTTCATTGGAATTATATTCTTTGTAGGGATTGACCAGATTTTGTGGCTGCGCTACTCAGGCCATTTTCTCTGGGTATCTTTCCACATTTTGACTACTGTGAATAATGCTGCTGTGAACATCCACGTGTGACTGTTTGAGGTGCAACCTTCTCTCCGTCATCTTAGCGTATGTCTGGAGGCAGGTCATGTAGGTTTTGGAGGAACCTTCCAGCTCTCTCCTGAAGAGGCTGCTCCGTTTTACAGTCATACAGGCAACGGGCAGGGCCAATTTCTCCACATTCTCACTAATACTTCCCATTGTCTCTCTTTGGTCATCACTGTTCTAGCATGCACAAGAGTGCCAATACCAAAAGATGTCCAAACGTATTAATAATCTAAGAGTCACCAAGACCAAGGAAGTGAAGTCATTGCTGCCTGCCAGTCGGAGTTGCTGTAAAGCAAAAGAGTTCGTGTTCACTGACACCAAGGATTTAATGATAATCCCCCAAGCCTAGATTCACAATGAGCTTCTCCCCTACCAATATATACATTCTTCCTGCTGCTGCTGTTAATAGGCCTGATATGGGCAAAATTTACCTAATTCGTTGGTCACCTTGAGCTGTGACATACAGGTTGCTTCGGTCTAGGAGGCTGCTAACCCTGATTCTCGAGCTGTGGGTCCTGAGCGGAATTATATCACTGGGTCTCCTGGCCCTTCACTCACATACACACTCCTGTTTCTCAGAAAGCCCGGTCATCGCTTCAACCTCCTGACCTGTTGATGGGGCTATTGCATGCATGAGATCCCTGTAAGCATGAGTTCAAGCCAGGGAGATCATTCCAACAGGCAGTGCTGCTTACTCAGTAGGTTATAAGAAAGCAAGCGAGCACATAAAGGGGGGGTGTATGTTGGCAAGTTCCCGGGGATGACAGCCAGTGGGAGTTGGGGGTGGATTAAGGAGCAAGGAGCTCTGAAATTACCTAAGAACAAATAAAATTTCTTTTTAATGTACTAGTAATAGGAACTGGTAATAGTTCCTCTTCTATTGTGTTTTAGATTTTAAAAAAGGTTATTAATATGACCTGCTAAGTTCTATTGTTGCTATTGTTATTACTATTTTATGTTTATTTGTGTGTTTGTGTTGTCACATATGATCCATGGTGTTTATGATTATTACTAACTTACTTACATTGTAAATATTATTATGTCAGTGACTTGCTTCAGATTGCCTTTAACTGGCTGAATTCAAATATCCTATGCTGTCTTATCGCCTTCACATTTTATGCTCAAGGTATTCCCAGGTCCCCAAAGCATCGTAGGGTAAAAAGTTAAAGCCTTGGGGGAGTGTGTATAGGATTCTACGTTCAGAAGAGCCATTAACAAGGACCTCCACTAGGGGGTGTACAGGAAAAGTGAGGACCTGAGTTGAGTCAAGTCTTCCAGAGAGCTTAGCTACTGAAGTTCAGCAGCACGGTAATTAGCTCTGAAATAAGTTTCTATCCATGGTACTACCAGGGCCTCCTATCCCACAGGCAGGGGCTTACGAGACCAAACAACAAGAGCAACAAAGGGAAGCAGGAAGGGAAGAAAGGACACACAGGTGAACAGAAATGACTGGGAAGATGTGGGGAAGAATCCAGTTGCCATAGCTCCTGGTCGGCTACCGTGTTCTCAAGGCAAATGACTGAGACCAGTTTTAGAAAGGGGTGGGGAGAGAGAAAGAGAGATGAGAAAGGGGAAGAAAGGGGGAGGAGGATGTGAGACTGGGTTAGAGAAATGAAAGCGTGCAAGTGCCCTGCTGGTGGCACTTGGCACATTCTTCCTGAGCATAACACACCCTCCTTGTGCAAGAACCCAGAGCCCCAGGTGCTGAAGGCTGAGGGCTGCAGAGGGACTGCGGAGAGAGCCAGGAAGCCATGGTGAGCCTCCCAGACTACAATATCTCTATATATTCAAATGTTTCCTTGGGGTTGAAGGGGCAGGTGGCAAGGGGCAAGAAGCTGTCTATCATTTCTGGTTTTAAGAGAGACAAAAACAACAACAAAGAGAATGCATATTGTCTCAAAAAAAAAAAAAAGTGACTCTAGTGACTGTTTCTTGGTGTTTGCCCTGAAGAGATGCTGGCAGAGCTACTGTTGAGACTAGGACTCTACAATGACACAAGTGGCTACCTGAGAAGTGATTACAGTTCTAGGATGTACAGGAAGCCTATGGCTTTGTAGTTTGAGTTAAAAATGTATTGCTTCTTACTTGGGAAAAAAAAATGAATTGCTTCCCTTTCCTGTGTCTGGCTATATTATTCATTCATGTATTTGAGGCATGAATCCATCATGACCTAGTGTTAACAGACAGCAAATTTGAACTTCACTGAACACTAAGAGCATTAAACACTTGCCCCCCCCCCGAATAAGGTTCAGTTTGATCTAAAGCTCAAATGAAAAGTAGGTACAAAGATTACTAAAATACAGGAAAATATCACATCAATAATGATCACCAGTGGTGGGACTAAAACACAGAAGCTCAATGAAATAAAGCAGTACACCAATTTGGAGTCAATTTGACGCTATTACCTTTCAGCCATGCCCCAAATATTTTACCTTGCATAAGGTAGGTATTGGGTTGATGTGCTTTATACCGTATTTGAAGGAAATTGTAGGGCACTGCCTCAAGGTGAAGGTGATGTAAGTTTGTAGCTCAGAGTTTAAGTGTCATTTTACCCTTCGTTTGCAGGGTTTTCCGTGGAGCTATCGGAGTACTCAAAGAGGCTCATGGCGCACTCTCCAGCTGTGGGTCTGGACAGTGCTCTGTTGTGGTATGTCATTCGCATTTCGCTAAGCCTGAGAGTGTATAGTTGAAGGGAAAGCAATCAGGCAGGTGGCCATTTGTTCTTTTAAGGACTCACTGCTCTCCTCCTCACATTCAGCACTTTCCTGAGCCCCCTAAGGTTACCTTTGCGTGCCAAAGTCCCACGTGAAGTGCCCCGAATCCTGATAACTGCACAATAGCCCTCCCTTCCGAAGGGGTGCAGTTCATCGAGAAAACTCTAATAAGGCACTTATTGCCTGTAGCACTTATTTTACATTCCGCTTTCCACTTCTAGTTTCACTGTGCACCAAATGAACTTCTACAGTCCAGAGAATGGGCTGCTTGAGGGCGGGTGTGTGTGTGTGTGTGTGTGTGTGTGTGTGTGTGTGTGTGTGTGTGTGTTTGGGGGGGTTTGTCTTTCTACTGATCTTTCATGTCTCAGCCTTAGAGACTCTTTATCAATAAATCTGAACCTTTTAAACCATTTCCTCAGAAAACTCATGTTTCCTTCTTCTCTCACTTGGATTTTCAGCTCAGAGCAAGTGAACACACTCTGTCTTTTTTTTTTAAATTTTCTTTACTTTTGAGTGTTTTATACATGCGCAGTAAAATATGATCATAGCTGTGTACCGTTTTCCCCTTGAGCTCCCCTCACGCCCCTCCCAATGCCACCACTCCCCACTTCCTGACTGTCCGTCTTTCCTTTTTCCTTCCTTTTGTTTTTGATAACCTGCTAAGCCCAGTGGGCGCTGCCCACGGGTGCATGGCTGCGGGCCACTCACCGGAGCGTGGGAAACTGAGCAGTGGCCACACCCTCAAAAAGAATGATGCCCACAGCTCCTCAGTAAGGGGTGGGGCTGGAGAGCCTACCCCACCTCTGCTTGATCTGGAGTAGGTCTCCTGCAGATGCAGAGAAGCCCAGCTGCTCTAGAGTGCATTAACCAAGTCCTGTGCGGAAGACAGCCTTTCCATTAACTGCTCTCTACATAAAAAGACATTTTTCTGACACTGGATGAGAACAGCTCAGGACTACCAGCTTAAGCACAAACTTTCAGAAGGCATTGTTGGTATGTCTCTACAGTACTCTAGCTTGTGAAGAAAAAACTCAGGGAGCTGATGGCTATAAAATCTTTTTACAGTAAAATCATAGTCCACATAGATCATACCATACTTAAAATGTCCATTGTGTACAATTATGCCTTTTATTTGGTTTCTTTAAACCTCTCATGCTTAAAGCCCCCATGTATTTGTTGGACTCCATTACTTGAGTATCTTTGGACATAGAACATGATGTAAACAATTTTGTGTTCTTTATATCATATTTATGTATGTTGCTCTTTCTTTACTATGAATTTAGATACACAACAATTGGACTATGTCTTAAGACTTTCCCAGAAGCAGCTTCTTCTACAATAAAGTACTTTTGATATTACAAAAAGTATTTAAAATTATATCATTGTTCTTCCTTATCCTATTTTATTTTACCTGAAAGAGAAATTTTATATGTCTACTATGACAACGGTAATAAACATTGGCCTTCAGAAAGTTATCTCAGGATTGAAAAGTATAGCATGGATTTTAGAGCTGGATTACATTATACTTTAATTAATTCTTAGTGACACACATTTCTAAATTATGTTGGATAAATTTCACTTGAAAGAATTTTGAGAAAGATTTTTCATTAAAATAAATCTTCAAAGATGTATTTATATGTTATAGTCCTTGAGTAGAAAACAATTCTATATTTTCTTAAAAAGAGAGAGTGTGTGTCTGGATTCTGATCCAAGTCTGCCAATGGCTAATTCTGTGACCCTGAGACTCTTGCCTCCTCTCCTGGTCTCTTGGCTCTTCATCTCTGAGTGATGAGCAGCCTGCATCTGTGCTGGTCCATAGAGGACTCTGTGAGTCATCATATTCTCTGCGGGTGTTTTTCAGATTTCCTGACTCACCATGGGACTCAGTGTTGGACTTACCATTACTCTGAAAAACCCATGAACTGGGAAAGTGCTCGAAAGTTCTGCAAGAAAAATTACACAGACTTAGTTGCCATACAAAATAAGAGAGAAATTGACTATTTGGAGAAGACATTGCCCAGAAGCCCTACTTACTACTGGATAGGAATCCGGAAAATTGGAAACACATGGACGTGGGTGGGAACCAACAAGCCCCTCACTAAAGAAGCGGAGAACTGGGGAACTGGGGAACCCAACAACAAGAAGTCCAAAGAAGACTGTGTAGAGATCTACATCAAGAGGGAAAGAGACTCAGGAAAATGGAATGACGACGCCTGCCACAAGCGAAAGGCAGCTCTCTGCTACACAGGTGGGCAGCGGCCGGACCCCTGTCCTGCTCTGACTTAGGAGGACCAAAGTTAGCTTAATCAGACTCACTACCCAGGAACTGCTAGTTCACTCTAAAACAATCCTCAGTAAGCCTTAAGCATAGCACTTCTGGGCATTCTGAATGTAAAGCTCATCCCTGTACTCAACAGCTAAATTAAGTTCTATCCAAGTTGTAAGTATGTGATGTGGGAAGCAGGGATAGACAGCCTGTGCCCCAGTGACAGACAGAAAGACGATGCTGAGAGCTCGGTGGTTTTTCAAGGAACATCTCTAACACCTGCACAACCATGTACAGAACCACTGTGAGTTAATTCATTCTAAAAGCAAATAAATGTCCGTGGCCAAATGACTAGTAAATCCCACAAATAAAAATTTTAGCATGTATTATTATGCAAAACTGTTATGAATATTTAAGCAAATCTTCCTTATGCATTATAATAGTGTCAAACAAAGCTTTCTTTGTGTGAGGAAGGGATAATGGATGTAATGACACTAAAATCCCTTTGTCTGATCTGTTTATAGCCTCTTGCCAGCTAGGGTCTTGCAGTGGCCATGGAGAATGTGTGGAAACCATCAACAACCACACCTGCAACTGTGATGTGGGGTATTATGGGCCCCAGTGCCAGTATGGTAAACCTCTTCTTTTTCAATTCTTGCTGTTGTTGTTTGTTTGCATCTTCCTGCCAATAGTCACCAGAACCACAACAGGTTAGGGTAGCAGCTGGTTGAGACAAAATGATACCAGTTGGGACAAAATAGTGTGAGCCATTCTAAGAAACGAGAAGTTCTGAACAGAAAAGTAAGCTTTCACAATATTATCTTCCTGTAAAGATTTCATAAGTTAGCATGCAGTTTCAATTTACCTTACAAGTGTTTTGAAGTATCTCAAGGAACTTGTTGAGATTTGTCAAAGCCGAGCAAATTACAGTGAGAAACTGGGTGTTGTAGATTTTCAGTTTCAAAGATGTCATAATCTAATGAGCTTGCAGGATTAGGTAGAACTATGCAGTCTGACAGAACAATTCCATTTCTCAGTAGAAGAGTGAGGTATCTGGAAGGCACTCCTGCTCTTCTACAGAAAGGAGAACCACATGTGATAACACAGAATATGTCCCAGTTATTTAATCACGAATCCTACACACTTATTTTGGTTGTTTGGTTGTGTATTTCTCTAGAAATACCCAAATTATTATAGATTCTGTACTCATGGGATTTACAGTTAATGAATAGAAATTGTATGGGTTCAGTGATCAAGTTTGAAGGGAAATGTGGTGAACAGGGATAAGCTTGTGGAGAGATCTCCTAACACAATCGCTTGTCCTTCATTTGCAATGAGTGGCCACTCAGTGTCTTACCACCAGCGCTGAGGGCAGTTATCCTAGAAACAGCACAAAGGAACACTGCTAGGACAGCCAAGAAAGAGTCACGGGGAGCCCTATGAAGAAGCCCTACGGATGCCGTGGTAGAACTGGAACTCAGAGAATACACATACACAGCGTGAGACGCTTGGACTCAGCCAACAACTACTGAAAGGAACATCCGATCTTCTGAGTGAGGCTGGCTGAGTTTCAAAATATTTTTGATGTGTCTGATTCACACAGTAGAAAATCATAAGAAGAATAAAAGCGATGTTTTTTAAGGAATAAAGGACTGAAACTAAAATTAATTTCAGTATTAACCAACTGGATTAGATCTGACTAATTCACATAGCTTTGAAACGGTGACTCTTTTATAAAGCTTTACATCCACTATTCTGCTCTTTATGTGACTTCTTTTTAAACATCGTGTTTTCTCTTTTTGCTTTCCATCATATACTTTTCTGATTGCCTTGTTTGTTTTGTTTTTTGCTTTTCAAGACAGGGTTTTCCTGTGTAGTCCTGGCTGTCCTGGAACTCGCCCTGTAGAACAGGCTGGGCTCTAACTCAGAGGTCCTCCCTTCTCTGCCTCTGAGGACTAAGATTAAAGGTGGGCATCACCACCAGCTGGCTTCTGATTGGGTTTTTGTTTTTCTCTAGTAATTTCTCCTGGTTTATTCATTGGTACTTACCCAAGACCATATACTCTTAGTCTCAGCATCTATTTTTTTTTTCTGCTGCACTGTCCTGGTTTATTTTTTTCATCAAATTTCCTGAATTTTGTGAATTTATAGATCTATGTGATCTTTGGATTAGCAAATCTGTCTTTAGCCATGACTTCCATTTATGCCAAGGATGCTGTCTTGGATGTAACTCAAGTGTCCCCAGCCACTTTTCTTTTGTTTGTGTGTGTGTGTGTGTGTGTGTGTGTGTGTGTGATTGTAACTACAGTTACATGAAAATGACATGTGAAATGACTCTGGCATGCAATGCTATCATATCCTCCAACAATTGTATAAGATAACACACTGCAAATTCAACTTCCAAAATTCTACTTCTTTTGTCAGGCTGAAGAGATGAGTTAGCTTAAGAGCACTGACTGCTCTTAGAGCAGACCCGAGTTCCATTCCCAGTAACCACACGGTAGCTAACAGACATCTGTAACTCCATCTCTGATGATACAATGGCCCATTCTGGCCTCCTGAAGCTCTAGGCACACAAATAGATAGGCAAAACACTCACGTACATACAAGTCAATAAAGTGGTTTTTACTAATTAAAAAAATGGCACTATCGCACTTGCATGTAATGCCTGGTGATTACGTTCATGCCTTTTCCCCAACCCCTTTCTTCTTCCCAGCCAGGCCTCTTCTTCATGACATTTTACAACTTGTTACTTCTCCAATTTCACTCCTACTTGTGTCTACTGTGTTGGTCCTTGTTGTCTTTCTCCTGTCCCGAAGTTTAAATTAGTTCCCCTCAAATAAGTTGCTCATAATGGTAGACAAGCTGACCAATTAAAAATAATCCGAGCATGCCAGACACATATGCCCATCCACCCTTTAATTTGCCCCTATCATTTGTCTTGGTAAAAGTAGAGCTCATTAAGTTCCAAAACGATGCCTGATACTTAACAAGTGCTCAATAATGGAGTGGAAAAGATGAGTACTTTGCTTTTGCTCCTCTTTTCCCAAACATACCTCAAACTGTGCTCTGACACTCTTTCTAGCAATATCAATATTTTGGCAGTTTTCTACTTTCCACGTACAGTTTGCGTTCTATTGGCTTTGTGTATTGCCTTCTCTTGGATTCTGCATATGGATAACACACCTGATTATCTTCAAAGCACAGTTAGGAGACTGTGTCTTCTCAGACTATTTCTTTGGACCCCAAGACAGAAAAATGGTTAGCAAGTAGTAGAAACAAGACTCAGACCCATCAGATCCTCATAACTCTTCTCCACTCTGCTTCTTTCCCCATTCAAGTGGTCCAGTGTGAGCCTCTGAGGGCTCCTGAGCTGGGTACCATGGACTGCAGCCATCCCTTGGGAGACTTCAGCTTCCACTCACACTGTGCCTTCAACTGTTCTGAGGGGACAGAGCTGCTCGGGATTGGAGAAACACAGTGTGGACCATCTGGAAACTGGTCCTCTCTAGAGCCAATCTGCCAAGGTGAGTTGCGTTAGAATGGATCTTTGTTGTGGTGAGCTTGTGCTTATAATCTGAGAAAATATAGGGGGTCTTGCCTAGAAGTCTGCTTCTGCTGCTATATAATTTAACCCAACTTGGGTTGTAGTTTGATGCCTTTCAAGAGTTTTTGTTTTTTTCTCACTAAAAGGAAAGGCAAAACTCCCATACAAAACAAAACAATCCAAAAGTCTTCAAAGCCACCTGGCATTTTATGATTTATAGCAATATATAGAAGCTCTGTTTTGTATTTTATTTGTCTTGTGGTCCTCACATAAAGCCTTCATGAACCTCAGTTGAACTTTCCTCTCCTTCAACAACACCCATTTTATGTGGTGCCCTACTTAGCACCAACCAGTTCCCTTCAGAGGCCATAGAGGCCCTTCTTGATTGTTTCATTTGGTGGGTTCTTAGAGTCACCTTTTATTTGTTTTTCTCCAGTGTGAGCTCTCAAAAGAATAACAACTGCTGCGAAAACAAAGCCAAGCTCTTGATTGTTTTTATTTGAAACAGAGTAGGTTTTCGACTAACAAGGTTTGCCACATACAGATGGAAAAAAAAAAAAAAAAAAAAAAAAACTGGTGGGGTTTGTACTTACGAAGTTCTCATTAAGCTTTTTTACATTCATATTTCTAATTTCCTAGTTTGATTCTCTAAAGAAAACCAAAATCCACCATTGAAATCACAGAACTGAATTAATGTAACTGACGAATTGTATAAATGTTAAGCCTGCTTCAAGAAATGGGGGTGTCTGTCAAGCCTGCTTGAATAGATGTCACTACATGGGAGAGGGTTGAAATCTTTGTAATTGCCAAGAATGGCCCATGCATGCTCTTGAGTCCAAGGCTGTATGGTATTACATTTCCGGCAGTGCTGTTACCATGTCACCATGCTGTGGCGACCTCCTGCAATGGCTACCTTACACCAGCATGGGCTATCAATGCCTTCTTGGCTCCACATTACTCAATATCACATTAAGAAAACAAATCTGTAAGCATAGTCAAAAGTAATTCCTACACATTCGACATTTCTAGCTTTGTATGGATGTTTCCAATGATTAAGTCTGGAAGCTTTGGTCAAAAACTTGTGATTCGGGGCTGGAGAGAAGGTTCGGTGTTTAAAAGCACTGGCTCCTGTCAAAGGCCTGGGTTGGTCCACATTAGGCCTGTTCCAGCTTAGACTGTGCAGCACAAACATACATTCGAGAGTTGAACGAAAGGCCTCAGGAATGACCGTGACACTGGGAGTGAGACAAGAGAGGTTAAAGGGGGTGGTTTGAATGTGATCAAACTACAGTACACACAACCATCTCTGAAAATGCCACAATGAAACCCATCATTATGCATAATTAATTTCTGCTAACAAGAATGTGAAAAATGCCTCTGGTCCTGAATGCTCCTCTGTTTTGTCCTCACTGAAGTGACTCAGTGTGAGCCTCTAGCAGCACCTGATCTGGGCGCTATCGAATGCAGTCACCCCCTGGCCAACTTCAGTTTTACTTCTGCTTGCACCTTCACCTGCACAGAAGAAACTGACTTAATTGGGGAGAGGAAAACTGTCTGCGGATCCTCCGGCATCTGGTCTAGTCCGAGTCCAGTCTGTCAAAGTGAGTCATGTTGCTCAGAAACGCACAGGGCTTGAAGGTGGGGCTGATCAACCAGCAGGAGGTGGGAAAGATACAACAAATCATTAAATTCCACTTCCCTCAAGACATGCAGCCGACAAAGGAAGTTATATGCATATCTATACTATAAAATCCTTGGCTCTTCTTGGCCTCTCCTTTATTGTAATTATTTTATTTTCTCAATCTCAACTCTCCTCTTACTTTAAAACTTTAAACTCATTGTCTTCCTATTTATGTAATCCCACATTCATTTTCTTTCTTTCTTTCTTTCTTTCTTTCTTTCTTTCTTTCTTTTTTTCTTTCTTTCTTTCTTTCTTTCTTTCT